TGGGCACTACATTTGCCTTTCTCCAATTGTCTGGGCCCTACCCCGATTGCCATGAGTTTTCAAAGCTAATGGTCAATAGCTCTGTCATGATGTCTGCCAACTCTTTCAGTATCCTTGGATGCATTAAATCTGGGCCCATGGATTTGTGTATGTTTAGCTTTTCTAAATAGTTCTTAACTTGTTCTTTCCCAACCAAGAGCTGTCTACCTCCTTCCCATACTGTGTTGCCTAGTGTATTTTTCTGGGAGCTGACCTTGTCCGTGAAGACAGAGGCCAAGAAAGTATTGAGTACTTTAGCTTTTCCCACATTATCTGTCACTAGGTTACCTCCCTCATCCAGTAAGGGCCCCACACCCACTCTGATCACCCTCTTATTGCTAACGTGCCCGTAGAAACCTTTCTTGTTATCCTTCACATCCCTTGCTAGCTGCAGTTCCAATTGCTCTTTCTCCTTCCTGATAACTACCCTGCATTCTTAAGCAATATATTTATACTCCCCCCTAGTCATCTGTCCAAGTTTCCACTTCTTGTAAGCTTCCTTTTTGTGTTTAAGCTTACCAAGGATTTCCCCGGTAAGCCAATCTGGTCACCTACCATATTTGCTTTTCTTGCTGCACATCGGGATGGTTTCTTCCTGAGCCTTTAATAAGGCTTCTTTAAAATACAGCCAGCTCTCCAGGACTCCTTTCCCCTTCATGTAAGCTTTGCAGGGAATTCTGCCCATCTGTTCTCTGAGGGAGTCAAAGTCTGCTCTTCTGAAGTCCAGGGTGTGTATTTCTCTTCTCTCCTTTCTTCCTTTGGTCAGGATTCTAAAATCTATCATCTCATGATTACTCCTTCCCAGGTTGTCACTTACCTCTGCTTCGCCTACTAGTTCCTCCCTGTTTGTGAGCAGCAGGTCAAGCTGCATACAGCCCCATGTCAGTTCCTTCAGCACTCGTACCAAGAAGTTATCCCCGACATTCTCTAAGAACTTCCTGGATTGTCTGTGTACTGGTGTATTGGTCTCCCAACAGATGTCAGGGTGATTAAAGTTGCCCATGAGAACCAGGTCCTGCAATCTAGAAGCTTCTCTCAGTTGTCTGAAGAAAGTCTCATCTACCTCATTCACCTGATCCGGCGGTCTATAGCAGACACCAGCCACAACATCACCCCTGTTACTTCCACCTCTAAACTTAACCCATAGACTCTCAACAGTCTTTTCTCCCTCTAAATACTGGGAGTTTTGCAGCGCTTTATTATTTTTGTAGTTTTTACACCCAAAAATTTCATCGCCGGCCTGGCTATGATTAAGTTGTTTAAACAAATGTGTTGCAATGGTAGAAAAAAATTGTTTGTGTCTGAAAACTGTGGTTACTGGGGGTATTTATAACATTTTTTTTTAAAAGGGGTACTTTATAAAAAAAGGTTGCAAAACACTGGTCTAAGTAGACCGTGGTTGGTCCTGTCAGGGGACTGGACTCGATGACCTCTCCAGGTCCCTTCCAGTTTTAGTGTTCTATGATTCTAAGACAGTAGGAATCACATACAACATAACAGAGTGAATATAATCCCCACTTTGTCACAGAAGAGTATTTGAATTCAGTTATTTCTGTATTTGTTTAAATTGTCCTTTCTAATTCTGTGAATCATGGGTAATGTTTATGCTTCATAATACCTTTCATACCTATTCAGATTGCTTTATAGATATAAAAAGACAAAAATCTTTAGGCTTGAATCTGGATACAAAAATCTTTCAAAAACATATAGGGACTAGTAATGTTTACATTTAAATCAGTGAACACCTCCTGTCAACTTCAAGTGAAAGCATGATTGAACTTTACAGGAGTGGTGCTAATGTGTAGTTACTTTTTATATTTAAAAACAATGGGTCTCAAAATATCACATATTATATTGACATTACTCAGCTGGTACTAATCCCTTCCTGCAAAATTCACTTCACACAAGAAAATGCTTTGTATTTAACTCATTTGCCATTTGTCTGCCTGACAAAGGACAATGGATTTGTACAGCAAGTGGTATTAAAATATATAGAGTTGTTGTTGCCGTCCTTATGTATTTTTTATGGTACCATATACTGGAAAAATAAATACCATGGTTTATGTTTAAAACCACAAAACTATGTTAATACAGTATCAGTGTTGCAAAGTTAAAATGTAAATTAGGCAAAGCAGAAGTTAAGAATCTAGTATTAGTGTCAGATTACCTGAATTGCACATATGTTGTGTTTTCTATTACTGGTTAAATATTTATATCGAGTTACAGTGTAAGCAGGGTAACGTGCAGTGTGTGCAGGTTAATACTGCTATGAGAAACCTTTATATCTATATTTAAATACAGTGTACTGCTTTATTTTAAATTCATGATTTTAAAAGTGTATTAACTTGTTTTTTTCCATTTAATTTCTCCCTTTCTTTTCTTAAGGGGCTAAAACATATTAATGCCTAAATAGAAAGCATGGTCTATATGTGTAAATGAATCATATTAGAGGTATTTCCTGGAGTGCATTGTGGCCTTCACAGTTCAGATCATTTAAAAGCAATGACTGGGGTTGGCAATCAATAGACCTATTGGACTTCTTCCCATGTTACCTGATGTGTGTTCTAACATTCAGTCTTCCTCCAACTCTGCATTTCAGGAAGAATACCCAGCAGGCTTGGCAGCGCAGATGCTGAGTGCCCTCTTTCCTTATTACATACCTATATTCTGAAGTCCCTGAGTGTGTAGAGTGAAAAGTTGTAGAGCATAGAGAGATTGAATTGTCTCTGCAATCTAGTTTTTGCATTTAAAAGAACAACCAAAAAACTGCCCAAGAAACTAGTTTTGAGCAAAAGCCACATATGCTTGTCAGTCCTCTTCTATGGTATCTTTTAGGGTGGCATATATTGGAATTGTGCAAACAATTTCATGCTTATCTTGTGTGTATTCAGTATGTTGTTTTCAACTATAAGCAGAAAAATAAAGGTTTTGAATGGGGAACCCTAGCAACATTACGTTTCTCAGGTTAATTTACTTAAATGCTAAATTTGGAGCTTACAAGCTCTGACACAATTTAGTCTGAGGTAAAACAAATGACGATTACTATTATTTATTTTACAGTGGAAAAAGTAATTATTTTCATTTTCTCATAACTCAAACTACTGGATAAGTTTCCACAAGACTTAAAAATTCTTCTGTGGGTTAGGATCACACATGGAAAATTTCAGTGTGGAAGAGGAATGTTGAGAATGTTATTGACAGGTGGAAATAGAACTTTGAAAAAATAAAGCTGAATTACAGGCAGTCCCCGGGTTACGTACAAGATAGGGACTGTAGGTTTGTTCTTAAGTTGAATCTGTATGTAAGTCGGAACTGGCATCCAGATTCAGCCGCTGCTGAAACTGATCAACGGCTGATTCCAGGAAGCCCCGGGAAGGGGCTTCCTTTAGTCAGCCACTGGTCAGTTTCAGCAGCGGCTGAATCTGGACGCCAGTTCAGACTTACATACAGATTCAACTTAAGAATCCCAGGCATCCCCAAGTCAGCTGCTGCTGAAACTGATCAACGGCTGATTCCAGGAAGCCCCGGGAAGGGGCTTCCTTTAGTCAGCCACTGGTCAGTTTCAGCAGCGGCTGAATCTGGACGCCAGTTCAGACTTACATACAGATTCAACTTAAGAATCCCAGGCATCCCCAAGTCAGCTGCTGCTGAAACTGATCAACGGCTGATTCCAGGAAGCCCCGGGAAGGGGCTTCCTTTAGTCAGCCACTGGTCAGTTTCAGCAGCGGCTGAATCTGGACGCCAGTTCAGACTTACATACAGATTCAACTTAAGAATCCCAGGCATCCCCAAGTCAGCTGCTGCTGAAACTGATCAACGGCTGATTCCAGGAAGCCCCGGGAAGGGGCTTCCTTTAGTCAGCCACTGGTCAGTTTCAGCAGCGGCTGAATCTGGACGCCAGTTCAGACTTACATACAGATTCAACTTAAGAATCCCAGGCATCCCCAAGTCAGCTGCTGCTGAAACTGATCAACGGCTGATTCCAGGAAGCCCCGGGAAGGGGCTTCCTTTAGTCAGCCACTGGTCAGTTTCAGCAGCGGCTGAATCTGGACGCCAGTTCAGACTTACATACAGATTCAACTTAAGAATCCCAGGCATCCCCAAGTCAGCTGCTGCTGAAACTGATCAACGGCTGATTCCAGGAAGCCCCGGGAAGGGGCTTCCTTTAGTCAGCCACTGGTCAGTTTCAGCAGCGGCTGAATCTGGACGCCAGTTCAGACTTACATACAGATTCAACTTAAGAATCCCAGGCATCCCCAAGTCAGCTGCTGCTGAAACTGATCAACGGCTGATTCCAGGAAGCCCCGGGAAGGGGCTTCCTTTAGTCAGCCACTGGTCAGTTTCAGCAGCGGCTGAATCTGGACGCCAGTTCAGACTTACATACAGATTCAACTTAAGAATCCCAGGCATCCCCAAGTCAGCTGCTGCTGAAACTGATCAGCAGCGGCTGAATCTGGACGCCAGTTCAGACTTACATACAGATTCAACTTAAGAACAAACCTACAGTCCCTATCTTGTACGTAACCCGGGGACTGCCTGTAGTCAGATTGTCAAATTTTGTTCAGTGTTTTTTTTCCCTCAGATGCTTGTAGTACCACTTTAAGAATTCTAATATAGGGCCTGTATCCAAAGCTTATTTAGTCAATGGAAATGTTCTTACTGACATTCATAGGTTTAGAATTAAGCAATAAATAGTCTTACTGTCATAGTTTGAGTTGCAGAGATCGATGCACTCTTGCATCCCTACATTCATATATCTGGTTACATTACCTTTTAAACTCAAAACTCCTCTCCAGAACACATTCACCGTCTTGTTAAGAAAGAGAAAAGAATAAGTAATTGCTCTTTAATTTTTTTGTCTTTTCAAGTATCCGGAGTGTGATGCAGAAATATCTCGAAGAAAGAGGTGAATTAACTTTTGACAAGATTTTCAATCAGAAGATTGGTAAGTTATGTTTTAAATCGCATTTTCTTGTTTTATATTTTAACCTTAATTTGTGTGCTACTGTTTAATGCAGTCTGTTGAAGATAACACTGTGGACTTCGTTAAACATAATAAATGATGAATTGGGACTTCTGGGATAGCATATGAGGTGCTAATACACACTGAGCCCTTTTTTTCTGTCAGCTTCGGCCCCCTTTTACCTGGTCTTGCTGAACCAGGTTCTCCAGCCACCTCTAGCAAAACCCACAGGCAAGGCCACAGTCTGCTACAGATACAGACACAAGGGGCAAAATATAAACAAGGAGAGCTTTCAGCAGCACTGCCAAATAGAAGGATTTTAATTCTCTACAGTTGCACTGTACAAGTCAAATCAGACACTTAAAGAGTCAAGGAAACTTGTATTGGTCATTTCTAGTAATTTTTAGTCATATGGTTAAATATGTTTCAACTAACAGTTCCAATGAACAGTACAAGTTGTGACAATTACTTTTAGATATTCTGTTGTTGTAGTACTAGTAGATAGTTAAGTCTAATCTGGGGTAGGCAATAATTTTTGACCGGGGGCCACATTTTTAAGTAGCCCCTGGCTGCCCCAAAAGGGATGGGGCCTAAACTGGAAGGGGCGGGGCCAGGATGATTCTGGGCTTCCCCAGACCATGATTGGGCTGGGGGGTGGGGGAGCCCTTTTGCTCCCCCTTCCCACTAGGCACCCATACCCCAGGCAGGATGGAAAGAGGCTTCACATGCTCCTCCACCCCCAGTCCAATCATGGCTTGTGGGCGGGG